CCAGCAAGATTAACGAGTTTTATAAAAAAAACTCATCACACGCGACTGCAAGATGTGTTGTGAAGCAAAAGGGAAGAAGTGAAAGAAAACCTCGAGGCCTCAAGATCAATCTCCACAAGATTATCTTCCATTTGATATCCTCCAATTTCAATAGGAATTCTTGGACTATCTCCTACATCCACAAACGCTAAGCACACAACGTTCTTCTTCACCTTCACCAACGAGTTTGTCCCATAAATCTTCCACTTCACTCCTCCTCCCAATACCAAACTGATCACCGGAGTCTCTTTCTCCAAAATGGACTTCCCACCAAAACTTTTATAGCTAAAGCAGTCAGAGAACGGATACATGGCTCTTCGCTTCTTGGCATTTCCGGCGAAGGCTTTAACAAGAGCTTTGTAAATGGATGAGAGTATAAGGAGTCAAGTTGTTGATCTTTGTGCCTCCATGATGGCTCGTCTTATTGAAAGTCAACAAATTATGATTAAAAGAGAGTGTCTCTCCGTTGACTTGGATTGACTTCACATCTATGTAATAGTTATCCTCCCCATGCTCTCTTGTTTCCGGGATCGGGACAAGAGGAGTGGAGACTAGTAACCCCGACACATCTTTACGACTCGGCGGCAACAAATATGGTCCACCGCCGATGTAAACAAGCCCGGAATGATTTTTTCCGGGCTTCGAAGGTAAACAAAGAGCAACTTTGAAGGGAATCTTGTAAGAAGAGACGAGGCCATTGACGAAGCCGAAAGACGTAGAGCCATTACCGAGTCCGAGGATGCCTTGAGAACCAGAAGGAAGCCCGGCCACGACCTCTAAGGCAGACATGCAAGCGAGAGGCAGCCTCGCTGAGAGTTTGGGTGCCACGTAAGCTGATGGTGACGTGTAGCTTAAGATGACGTTGTCTTTGACAAGAGAAGCGGAGACGGAGTTGTAGGTTGATTGGGTTTCGATGTACTCGATACACGTATTGTTCCTGCAGGAAGGACCGTAAGTGCCGTAGCAAGTGGAGCATTCATCTTTGGCTTGTTTGCAGCCGTGGGATCCGCAAAGGATAGGGGTGTAGGTGGTTGAGTTGTAGCCGGTCTCTTCGCATTGGAACCATAAGGCTGGGCCTCGGACGTCTACGACTAGGTTAACCACGAGGGGTGGCTCGCCGACGGTCACGCTGGTGTAGTAGAGACCGGTTTTAGTGTCTTTTAAAACAGGAATAACAAAAGTATGAA